GTTTGGTGAATGGAGGAGATGCAGACTCCCCTCCTTTTCCCTCCCTTCGGGATGCCATACCTTGCAGGATGCCAGGAATTCAGCCCGCCCCCTGAATCGGTGCTGCTTGTGAAGTTTCGAGTCCCTGCACACCAGGCAGACGATCATACCATCCGTCTCACAGACCAGGGTCAGCTTCTACTGGTGCTCCGGGCACAGGCGCCGCTCGTCCTCAGTCAGGTCCTGCTGGGGGGTGGTCAGCCGGCGAATCTTATCCACCACGTTCCTCAGTACACAGTTGGGCTGCAGCACCAACCTCTCACACCGCACTGTGGGCAACAAACACTGCCACCCTGGGCCTCCCTGTAGGACTCAATACAAGGGCGGCAGAAGTTACGGTCACAGTCCACCAGAACAGGCTCCACGAATAACTCAAGGCAGAGAGAACAGACAAGGGCTTCCCCATAATTCATGTGCAAACTCCACATCAATAGAATTGAACCCAGGTCCCTGGTGCTGTGAGGCAGCAGTGCTAACCACTGAGCCACCGTGCCACCCTCAGTCTAAATTCAGTTCAAATTTTATTTTAAAATACGTCGGTGTCAGTAAATTTGTCAAAGAAAAAATGTGACTGCTTCACATGCCGCCCTTGACCAGCCTGAGGTGTATGAGACACTGAGAGGATTGACAAAGTAGACATAGAGAGGATATTCCCCACTGTTGGCCAATCTAGAACGAGAGGTCACAGTTTTAGGCTAAGGGGTAAGAGATTTAAAACAGAGATGAGAAGGAGTTACTTCTCTCAAAGAGCCTTGAATCCGTGGGTTACACTAACCCAGACCGCAGGGGATGTGGGGACGTTCTGCCAATCTTCCCTTTTAAATTTACTCATTTCAATTAGCGATGGGTGGAAGGGTTTACGGAGAAAGTGCAGTTGAGTCCAAGATGAGATCGGCTACGACCATAGTAAATGGCAGAGTAGGCTCAAGGGTCTGAACTGCCTGTTCTTACTCCTCGCTCTTGAGATCCAGGCCTACATGTGACCCTTGACCTGCACCCAATATGGCTGACGCTTAGCTACCCGCTGAAAGTGTCCGACATTTATAACTAGGAATGGGCAATCCATGGCAGCCAGGCATCCTACTCAAGATATGTGCAGGAATTAACTTAAATATACAAGCGAGCCTTATGCCTGTGGCCCTTATTCAGGCGTAGAGCCACGTGACAGAGTTGGAGGTGTCTGCGTTTAATGCCTATCCATGTGGGATTTTCCATGAAGGGTTCGTGATCAGAAGTGGGGGAATTGGGAAGGTTTCCTCAGATGGGTGAAGCGAATTGAAGTGCAGATCAGAGCAGGAAGAGAGGGGTTTAACCTTTTCGATGCAGCTCTGTCGCGCTGACCAATCCCCCTATCCCGTAACTCCGCAGTGTGAGGAACGTACTGCGGATGCTGGAAATCTAAAATTGAAAAAAAAACAGGAAGTGCTTCAGAAACTTAGCAGCGCCCCACCCCTGGCCGCCTCCTGCAACATTGCACAAGGGCGGCCAACTGGAGGCATGGTCTGACCATCACGGGCCTGGCTCAATGCCGTGAGGACATGGCCCCACGACAGCAGCCTGGGATGTTGCCAACGTCAAAAAGGAAATGTTGAAATGCAAGGTGACAGTGACAATTTTCAATTCCTTGTCCGCCTCAAGGGTTTAAGAAATCTGCCGTCCTTACCTGGCCTGGCCTACGTGTGATGGTCAGGCCTACAAGTGACTCCAGGCCCACTGCAGAGCGGTTTGACTCTGAACTGCCCTCTGAAATGGGTCAGCAAACCGTTCAGCCCAGGCATGATTAAGGATGGGCAGCACCTTTTGGTGGTCTTGCCAGCGATACCAACACTGCATGGCATATTGAACACTTCTAAAGCAATGAACCTATGAGGGGAATTAATTTGGTATCTCTCTCTCTCTTTCTCTCTCTCTGCCTTTCTGTCCTCCCACAGCACACCAAGTTCCCCTCAGTCTCCTCTCTGGACTCAGCTGGCATTGACCCAAGCCCGAACTGCCCCCCGTCGCCCTCCATGTTGTCTCCCACTGCCACCTTCGTCAAAGGGCACAGGCGGTCTGCGTCCTGTGGCGCATCGTACATGCCGTCGTCCTCTCCCATCGGCTCTCCTCAGTCTGACTGCCGGATCATCCGCGTGCGTCTAGACGTCTCCAATGGGAACCTGTACAAGAGCATTTTGGTAGGTGATGCTCCCTACCTATGAGGAGAATCTCTTCGCAGTTTGTTCTCAGTACATGAACGAGGCCAGTAACTTACTGCCAATCCCTTTATGCCCTCGAGAAGGTGGTGGTGACCCACCTCGTTGAACCTCTGGAGCCCTTGGAAGTTGACCCCGGTGACACTGAAAGAGCGGTCATTCCAAGTCATGAAGTGTGTCACTTGGAGGGCAACTTGTAGGTGGTGGAGGTGCTGGTGTCCCCATGTATCGGGGGTATTTGGCAAGGCAATCTAGGGCAGGACTTATACACTTAATGGTTGCTGGGCAAAGCAACTTTGGAGTGCAGGTTCACAGTTCCTTGGAAGTGGAGTCACAGGTAGACAGGATGATGAAGAAGGCGTTTGGTACACTTGTCTTTATTGGTCAGTGCATTGAGTGCAGGAGTCGGGAGGTCATGTTGCGGCTGTACAGGACATTAGTCAGGCTGCTTTTGGAATATTGCGTAAATCCTGGTCTCACTGCTACGGGAAAGATGTTATTGAACTTGAAAGGGTTGAGAAAAGATCTAGAGGGGTTTGAATGATAGGGAGAGGCTGAATGGCCTGGGGCTATTTTCCCTGGAGCGATGGAGTCTGTGGGGTGAACTTACAGAGGTTTACAAAATCATAAGGGGGCATGGATAGGGTGAATAGTCTAGGTCTTTTTTCCCCCAGGGTAAAGGAGTCCAAAACTAAAGGGCATAGTTTGAGGTGAGAGGGGAAAGATTGGTTCATGCAGAGGGTGGTGTGTGTATGGAATGAGCTGCCAGAGGAAGTGGTGGATGCTGGTACAATTACAATATTTAGAAAGCATCTGGATGGGTACATTAAAAGGAAGGGTTTAGAGGGATATGGGCCAAATGCTGGCAAATGGGACTCGATTAATTTAGGATATCTGGTCGGCATGGACGAGTTGGACCAAAGGGTCTGTTTCCGTGCTGTACAGCTCCACGACTCTATCTGCTGCCCTTGTCATTGTAGGTGAAGGAGGTGTTGACAAAGGAGCCTTGGTGAGTACTGGTGATGCTGCTATACATCTGCTGTCTTTCTCCTCCTCAGGATTAAGGATCACTAGTTTGGAAGTTGCTCTAGAAAGGGACTGGGCACATTGCTACAGATGGGTACAGATTGCAGCCCTGTGTATGGCAGACAGAGGAATTGAATCTTGGATGGGATGACTGGTTAAATGGGCTTCCTTATCCTGGACTGTGTCATGCCTCTTGAGTGTTATTGAGGTAAATTCTTGGAGGCTTCAGAATATGGGTTGATTGGTTCTTGAATGACCTTTTTAATAGCTCACCCGCCACTACCAAATCGGGCTAGAGCTGCCCGAACCGATTCCAAGTTTTTCAGCTCCCCTCACCTCTGGTATGTCCTTACCTCTGAGAATTCAGTGTCCCACAGTTAAATGTAGCCGCAAATGTGAATAAGCAGTTGATTTTAAACAATGGGTGAAAATCGCTTCCTGTTAAACAGTCACAACCCATTTCCCTCTGTTGGACTTGAAGGTAAATATTTAATATAAATGACTTAGATGAGAATATAGAAGGCATTGTTAGCAAAGTTTGAGGATGACGACAAAATTGGTGGTATAGTGGGCGGTGAGGGCTGTCTAAGATTGCAAAGCGATCTTGATCAGTTGGGTCAATGGACTGAAGATAGAGTTTAATTTGGATAAATATTGGTGTTGGATTTTGACAAAACAAGCAAGGGCAGGACTAATGCAATTAGAATTTGGGTCTTAGATAGTGATGTTAAACAGAGAGACATAGGGGTTCAGGTACATAATTCGTTGAAGTTTGCATCACATGTAGACAGGGTGGTTAAGAAGGCGTTTAGCGCACTTGCTTTCATTGCTCAGACATTTGAGGACAGGAGTTGGTGATGTTATGTTGAGGTTGTACAGGATGTTGGTGAGACCCCTTCTGGAGTACTGTGTCCAGTTCTGGTCTCCCTGTTACAGGAAGGATATAATGAAGCAGGCTATGGTTCAGAAGAGATTTACCAGGATGTTGCCGGGAATGGAAGGTTTGAGTTGTAAGAATAGGCTGGATAGGCTGGGACCTTTTTCACTGGAACATGGGGGGTGTTGAGAGATGACCTTATAGAATTTTATAAAATGACGAGGGGTATAGATAAGGTAGATGGCAGGTGTTTTTTCCCTAGGGTGGGGGATTTCAAGACCGAGGGGCCTTATTTTTAAGGTGAGAGGAGAAACATATAAAAAACACGTGAGGGAGAATATTTTACACAAAGAGTGGTTCGCGTGTGGAACAAACCTCAAGAGGAAGTGGTGGATGCAGGTACAATGTTTAAAAGGCATTTGGATAAGTACATGAATAAGAAATATTGGAGGGATGTGGGCCAAGCGTAGGCAGGTGGGACTAGTTTAGTTTTGGATTATGGACTGGTTGGACCGAAGGATCTGTTTCCGTGCTGTATGACTATACGAATCCAGGATTCTATGAATCTATGGAAGCCGAGTGCTGCTCCTTTAAAGTTTAAAGTTAGCCAAATTAAAGACCTCCGCCACCACTGCCCCCTATCTTCCACCAGCACCAACTACACTCTGCGTGGAGTCGTTATTAGCTGTGACCAAACTGAGCAGTTCGCTTCCATAGCTGCAAATGATGCATCGGCCTGTGCCTGCATTCCACAGGTGTCCAGCCAGGACAAGACCCCCGCTGTGGTAGGGAAAGCTCTGGAGAAACACAACCAGGACACCAATGCAGCCGCCTCTTATGAACTGGTGCAGCTCATCTCCGAAGACAAAGGTGAGGTCTCTTGGAGAAGGCTATGCAGGGCTCATCGACTGGGCTGGGAGGGGCGGTGGACCTCAGACGAAAGGGAAAGGAGGCAGGAGACTATCTAACCTTGGCCTCGGACCATTTCTGAACCCGAGCAGCTGGATTGTTCACAGTGCATGGGAATGAGTGGGGGCTGTTCTAACTGAGAAGGGGAACAGTCCTGCCCTGACGGCGGCATGGAACTGGGTAAATGCAATGGGTCTTGAATACAAGGCAGTCCATTCCGGTGCAGGTTGGGGTGGCACGGTGGTTGGCACTGCCAGCTCACGGCACCGGCGACCCGGGTTCGATTCCAGCCTCAGGTGACCGTCCGTGTGCGGTTTGCACGTTCTGCCTCCCCCCCACCACGTCTGCGTGGGTTTCCTCCCACGGTTCGACGCGAGCTTTTTCAGACAGGCAGCCAGCAGTTTGGGTGCGAAATGTGCAGAATGGAAACGTGGTGGAGGAACGCTCAATTGAGGCAGTCAGGAGGGACCATTGGATGGGTATTTGGGTGGGAATGATGCGCGGTGGTGGGGTGGGGGGGTAAGGTTGGCACTATACATAGAACCAAGGCAGGTGCGGTGGTTCAGATTGGCCATCATTACAACCCGTTTCCCTTCCTGCAGAGTTCACCATCCCCCACAACGCCAACGTCTTCTACGCCATGAGCTCCACCAGCATCGACTTCATTCTGCGGAGGAGGGGCCACTCCTCCCCCAAGCTGAGAGCAGAGCACGGATCCCCCTTCCCGAAGATCAGGTCCAAGGGGATGAAGATCGCCAGGTCCTTGTTTTAAAGGCCCACCCTTTCCCCCCTCCGATGGTGGAATGGGGGATGGTGGGGGGGCTCCTGCAGACCTGTGACCCGCAGGGAAGGTGGGCCAACTGGGGGAACGTGAGCCGGCAGCTCGTTCAGACAAAAGCCAACGGCAGCGCGCGGGCGGATGGCCCCAGGTCGTGGAGGGATCTCTTCAAACTGGGCGGCGTCACAGAGTACTACATTGAGGCCGCTTTCTTTCCTCGGCGAAGGGTGGGGGGGGATGCTTCAAAAACAAAAAGCTTCCGGCCAGGGTTGGGGGTGGGGGAGGGCCCGTTTTTACCCTTCAGCGGGGGAACATTCGCCATGAGCGGCCAGAAAAAAAAACCATACACACCATCAGGTCCTCAGTTCGGGGCCAAGTGAACGGAGCAGGGAGCAATAACCCAAAAAGGGTCCATGCCCAGGCCCAACCCCACCCCCCCACACTGTAACCAGAGAGGGGGGGGCGAATTCAGTCTGTGGTGCACAAGATGGAGGCTTCAATACACAGGGGCTCATCTTCTTCTATAGACGCCAGTGGAATCAAAGAGATGCCCACCTGCGGGATGCCAACTTGTTGCTTCACCATGGCTTCGGCCCCGGGCATCCGAGCTGGCCACTCCCCCCCACCCTTGGTGGGGGGGGAGGGGTGCGCGCACAGCGATAATAGTCATGACCGTGTAAGCGTCCCGCCCTCCCCACCCGGTGAGCTTCAGGAACAGCCAGGCCCACCAGCACGAGGTAGCTGGACCCGAACCGCTCAGGACGGCAGCGTTGGTCGGGTCACTTCGGGTCGACCGCCCTTAGCCGGGTCGAAGTGACGCCGCTGCCTCCTTGTTCGTTTGCCCCACCCACCCAGACCACCAATCACCCCACACCCCCCCCCAGACAAACCCACACACACCCCACACAGATCCCCACCCACACACGCCCCCACACACACACCCACCCCCACCCCCCAGACACACCCACACACCCACCCATACCCCCCACACAAACCCCCACCCACACACACCCCCACCCACTCACACCCCCAATCACCCCACACTGCCCCAGACACACCCTCACCCACACACACCCCACCCACACACACACCACCACACACACCATCCAAACACACAACCCCACCCACACACCCCCCACCGCACCCATACACCCCCACCACCCCACACCTCCACACACACCCGACAAACACACCCACACCCCACACCCCCTCCATCCCCCAAATCCACTCCCCCAAACAAACCGAAACAATAAATCCCTCCTCCCACGACCTGTCTCCCGAATCAGCGGCCCAGCCCTTATCAGGTGACGGTGTTAAAGGTGTACCGCCCCCCCCCACAGCCTGGCACCAACGCAGTGACAAACCCAGGAGTGGGCATTTACAACTCCAGGGCTGGTGAGCTGTTGTTGGCAACAGTGGGGGGAGGTGTTGGGGGGCTGCGCCGTTGTACAGTCTCCTACCCCGTCCCCTCGATCTGCCTCAGCGGTCTGACCGGATGGATGCTGCAGAACCCCAGGGTGCTCTGTTCTCCCCCCACCCACACCACGAGCCGGCCAATGGGCGAGCCCCGGGAGCTTTTCCGTGCTTGTCGTGGCCGAAACAAGAAGCTCCAGTGTGTCGCGGCTAAAACCGGGCCCGTGTGCCGGGACTGGCAGAGCCAGCAGCTGCCCTGCACGTGCCTCCCCATGCCCACCTTGTGGGCCTTCACCAGCTCGGCCAACGCTGGCGCCTTCCGGTTTGTCTCTTCGGCCGGCTCCGACCCCGGTGGCAGAAGGGACGAGAGGATCGGACGGTGGGGGGAGAGGGTCCTTCGTCCCCCCCACCCACCAAAGTCAACACTACACTCGACGTGAGGCCTTCTGCCTCTTCTCATGACACTAAGAAGAACCATATCGAGGTTAGCAAGCTGTGATGCCATCTCCCACCAACGTTGGCAGCGACTGATTGAAGCCTCTTCCTCTATTTGGATCGTGTTGGCTACCAACTTCACCTCCCCCTCTCCCTCCCTTCCCAAATGGCAGGAATTCTCTCCCCGCACCCTCAGCCCCACCTCACCGGCTCAGGCGATGCCTTGGGCCGGGGCGTGGGGCAAGTGGGCAGTGTTTGCAACCAGCGTCGCCCGTTGCCTGCGAGAGAGAAACGTGTGTTTTGTGGCTCTCTCTCTCGCCGAGAAGCCAGAAGCAATTGAAGGACGTAGCAGTTCCCATCCATCCATCCAGCCGGTTCTCCCTGGAGACAGCTGGCAAAGCTGGGGCTGGATGCTTCCCTCGTGAAAGCCGCAGGACCCTGCCACTGACTGCACCGCGGGGACCCCATCCTCCGCCTCGCAGTTTCCAACATCCAGAACGAACAGACTACCCGCTGACGTTTCCGCGGGATTGGGGGAAGGGTGGTGGTTGGGAGGAGGAGCTGCAGCGACAGCCCATCCTTGCCAAAGGGGGGGGGCTGCCCAGATTTGGCACGCCCTTGCGTTGGCACCGGGCGGGAGTGGGAATGGGGTCACTCCACCCGGCCCAGTGGGATTCTTGTTCAGGGATAAATCGAAAACCCTCGTCCTTCCCCGCAAATTCGTCGCCTGAACGGCGTTTTTCCCATCTACTTTGTGCGTTCCTTTCGACGGGGACATGTATTTATGGTCATTTATTTAAAAAAAAACAATTTCTCAATGAGCCAGCATTTGGACCTTTGTTACTAACTTGATGTTACCAGTTTGCACTTCGAATTGCTGGGGCGCAGTGGGGACAGAACTTGGCGAAGACGAGCCTTTTCTGCCCCTTGAGCCTGTTCCTTCAGGATTTCTTGCATGTCCCTGATTGGTGGGGGGACTGAGAGCACTTCTGTCGTCTTTTTTCTTACAAAAATATACTTTGTTTGTAAAAAAGTTTTCTTTGTCTGCATGCATAGTCACAAGCACACTTCGGTTCTGTGCAGTATCATATCAAGGAAACAAATGGACATTGGAGTTTGACTCGATCCAAAAGAAAGGTATCTCTGACATTCATAGAATCCCTACAGTATGGAAACAGGCCCTTTGGCCCAACAAGTCCACACTGACCATCAGAGCTTCCCACCCAGCCCCATCCCCTTATAACCCACCTAATCTACACATCCCTGAACAATACAGGCAATTTAGCATGGCCAATCCACCTAGCCTGCACATCTTTGGACTGTGGGAGGAAACAGGAGCACCCAGAGGAAACCCATGCAGGCACGGGGAGAACATGCAAACTCCACACAGACAGTTGCCCGAGGGTGGAATTGAGCCTGGGACTGTGAGGCAGCAGTGCTAACCACTGAGCCACCGTGCCACCCCAAGTACAAGACACAGTCAACCAGGGTAAAGGTAACAGGGACTTGGGCAGCTCAGCAAGTTGGGTAGACCGTTTGAGAGGGAGGTTCAGGTTCGACCACATTTCTGTAAGTCTGGAGACCGGTGCAGGCTCAGAACAGCCAATGGTAGCTGAATTGCTCCCCACTCCAAAGGGTTGGGTGAGGCCAGTCTTTAATAGCACGGCTCATGATCGCTGTTACTGAAATAAGACCATTTCAGTCTCGGATTGAATCATAGAATCCCTACAGTGTGGAAACAGACCCTTTAGCCCAACAAGTCCACACCGAACCTTGGAGCATCCCACCCAGACCCATCCTCCCATAACCCACCTAAGTTACACATCCCTGAACACTATGGGGCAATTTATCATGGGCAATCCACCCTAACCTGCACATCTTTGGACTGTGGGAGGAAACCAGAGCACCCAGAGGAAACCCACACTGACAACTATGCAAGGGGCGAGACAGACCACACCTGAAATACTGTGGACATTTTTCGGGGCCTTCATCCAAGGAAAGATCACCCCTGCATTCACGGCAGACAAAGAGAAACTTCATTGAGTCGTGGAGCTGTACAGCATAGAGACAGACCCTTTGTCCCCACTAATCCATACCGACTGTTTATCCTAAATTAATCCGGTCCCATTTGCCAGCATTTGGCCCATATCTTGGCTTCCGACGCTCCAGGGAAAATAGCCCCAGCCTATTCAGCCTCTCCCTACAGCTCAAACCGTCCAACCCTGGCAACATCCTTGTAAATCTTTTCTGAACCCTTTCAAGTTTAACAATATTATTTCTATAGAGGGAGAGCAGAATTGAATGCAGAATTCCAAAAGTGACCTAACCAATGTCCTGTACAGCTGCAACATGACCTCCCAACTCTGATGCTCAATGCACTGACCAGTAAAGGCAAGCGTACCAAACGCCTTCTTCACTATCCTATCTACCTGCAACACCACTTTTAAGCAACTATGAACCTGCACTTCAAGGTCTGTTAGTTCAACAACACTCCCCAGGACCTTACCATTAAGTGTATAAGTCCTGCCCTGATTTCCCTTTCCAAAATGTAGCACCTCACATTTATCTAAATTAAACTTCATTTGCTATTGAAAAATACCAAAAGAACTGTGGATGCTGTAAATCAGGAACACAAACAAAGTTGTTTGAGAAGCTCAGCAGGTCTGGCAGCATCTGTGAAGGAAAACAAAACAGAGTTAACCTTTCGGGTCTGATGACTTCACTGAGGAAAGTTGGTTCTGAGGAAGGGCCACCGGACCCGAAACGTTAACTCTGTTTTTTTCCTTCACAGATGCTGCCAGACCTGCTGAGCTTTACCAGCAACTTTGTTTTTGTTCCATCTGCTATCAATTGGGTAATTGACTTGTTTGATTCTGGGTATGGAGAGGGGTTGGCTTGCAAGGAGAGGTTGAGTAGACTGGGCTAGAACTCATTTCAAAGAATGAAACTTATTGAAACATACATGATTCTTAGTGGACTTGCGAGGGGAGAAGTGGAGAGGTTGTTTCCTCTTGTGTGAGAGTCTCAGACTGAAGGACATCATCTCAGAGTAATCTCAGTGTGAGGAGGAATTTCATCTCACAGCGGGTGGTGAATCCATGGAATTCTTTACCGCAGAGGGCTGTCAAGGCTGGGTCATTGTATATATTGAAGGCTGAGATCAACTGATTTTTAATCAGTAAAGGAATCCACGGCTATTGGAAAAGGCAGGAAACTGGAGGTGAGGATTGTCAGGTCACAGTTAATGGTAGGATCCTGGGGAGTGTTGCCAAACAAAGAGACCTTGGAGTGCAGCTTCATAGTTTCTTGGAGCTAGAGTCGCAGGCAGACAGGATAGTAAAGAAGGCGTTTGGTACGCTTGCCTTTATTGGTCAGTACATTGAGTATAGGAGTTGGGAGGGCATACTCCAGCTGTACAGGACATTGATTAGGTCACTTTTGGAATGCTGCTTTCAGTTCTGGTCTCCCTGCTATAGTAAAGATGTTGTTAAACTTGAAAGGGTTTAGAAAAGATTTACAAGGATGTTGCCAGGATTGGAGAGTTTGAGCTGTAGGGAGGGGCGAAATAAACTGGGGCTGTTTTCCCTGGAGTGTCAGAGTCAGAAGGGTGACCTTATCGAGGTTTGTACAATCATGAGAGGCACGGACAGGGTAAATAGTCAAGGTCTGGTCCCCTGGATGGGGGAGTCCAAATCCAGAGGGCATAGGTTCAAGGTGAGAGGGGAAAGATTTAACAGGGACTTGAGGGGCAACCTTTTCCTGCAGAGGGTGGTGCGTGTATGGAATGAGCTGCCAGAGGAAGTGGTGGAGGCTGGTACAATTAGAACATTTAAAAGGCATCTGGATGGGTATATGGATAGAAAGGGTTTACAGAGATATGGGCCAATGCTGGCAAAAGAGACTAGATTAATTTAGGATATCTGGTCAGCATGGACAAGTTGGACTGAAGGGTCTGTTTCCATGCTGTACAACTGTATTACTATATAGGCATAATCTTATTGAAGGGTGGAGTAAAAGCATTTGGCTAAATGGCCTGGCTCTGCTCCTACTTTTTATGCAATTTGATCTCCTGTCTTGAGATTACACGCCTCTGATTTAGTCTATTTCAGAAACATGATCATTTTGCCACCAAATCCTCACGGAGGTTGAAGGCTGATCTGTACTCACCTTTGACACCCTATCCCCCACCCAGAAAAAAAAACCTTCCAACTTCAAAGACAAATCTAGTCTCAGTGACAACAATAATGTCCTGAAGCAGGAAATTCCTAGGTCTAGACTGGTAATCCAAAGAAATCACAGATCAAAACCCCACCAGAATAAAAGCAAAACATTGCAGATGCTGGGAATCTGAAATAGAAACAAGAGTTGCTGGAGAAAACTACAGGAAGAGAGAGAGAGAACAGAGTTAGCATTTCAAGCATGGTATCGCTGTTCCATTGGAATACAAACGCCAGTCTGATGTGTTTGAACGTTTGAATTTCATTATTTTAGGTTAAAACACGACAGGAAATAATTCGCTGCTATCACTCAAATTTTAACAATACAGAGAAGATTTGCATGAAATGACACACAAATTTGTGGAGGATGCCATATATTACTCCTCCTGTGGTGCAGTGGTAGTGACTCTATCCCTGGTAACAGGAGGCCTGGGTTCAAGTCCTGCCTGCTCCAGAGTTGTGATATGACATCTCTGAACAGGTTGATTAGGGAAAAAAATGGATTTAATAGTTAAAAAAAAAACAGGAGATTGCCAGATGCATTCATGTCCTTTACAGAGACTACCTGACTCAGTTTGTCCTGTTGGTGTATCAAACAGAGGGTGGGCCATAAATTCAGTGGAGTACGCATCCTGGGAATGTTTTGTTAAAATTCGCGTTCCAAAGGCGTGTACAGAGTCACAATGTCTCTGGAGAGAAGGGTGTTATCAAGCTGGGGAGTGAAGTCATAGGGGGCCAGGTCATGGTGTGTGTGAAATCTGAAGGGTTCCATTTTCAAGTTATTCTTGTAGGCAAAGTGTTGTGCCAACGTCCGTTCCTTTGTTACCTTGATGCATCACATTTCCATTGGCTGTTGTTAGCCAGATTTCGCCTTCGGTTAGCCTAAGGTTCTTAAACTCTCCTTCTGTGTCTTAACCTACATCAAGCACCAATCTCCTATCCAGTCTGTGGCCCCCAGTCAAACAATGGTTTGATTTTAAAAAGCTCATTCTTGCATTCAAGTCCCTCCATGACCCGGCCCCTCCCTATCTCTGTAAGCTCCTCCAACCCCTCAGTAATCTATAGAACCCCTACAGTGTGGAAACAGGCCCTTCGGCCCAACAAGTTCATGCCAACGTATCCCGCTAATCTCGGCATCCCTGAACACTGTGGGCAATTTAGCATAGCCAATCCACCTAGCCTGCGTATCTTTGGACTGTGGGAGGAAACCCACACAAACACAGGGAGAACATGCAAACTCCACACAGACAGTCACCCAAGAGTGGATTCGACCCCAGGTCCCTGATGCTGTGAGGCAGCAGTGCTAACCACTGAGCCACCATGTCGCCCAGTCTTCAAAGATATCTGTGCTTCTCTAATTCTGGCCTCATACACATTCCCAGTCATACTTTCTCATGACTGGGCTTTTGCTCACCTGGTCCCGACGTTTCCTAAACCTCTTTGCCTCATTTTCATCCTTTCAGGTGTTCTTTACAGCTGACCTATGAGACCAAAACAAATAGGAACAGGGTTAGGCCATTTGAACGCACTCTGCCATTCAGTAAGATCTGACATTCCTCCACTTTCCAGCCTTTTTCCCCATAACCCTTGATTCCCCTCCTGAC